GTCTGACTTGAATTTTTTTTATAGTAACTTTTGCCTTGATACTGCAGTATTTTTTATTTCAATCTAAAAATCTAGTACAATCTTGTGGTTGTCCAAACCGTTCAAATATATTTCAGCAGATTTTTGGATTGCAATCCAAAAATATTACAATTTTGGTTACATCCAAACTAGCACTAAGTTAATTAGTTCCTTTCTTTAAAGTTGCAAGTAGATTACGTTGGAGGCCCATGGAGGTTCTATTTTTTTATGGGTCTCTCTTCTTTCTTAGGACTCTCCAAAAACAAAAAGCCAAAAAAAATTGGTCTTGTGGATGTTTTGAGGTGACAGTTGGATTTCTTTGAAGTTAGGAAAAAAGGAAATAACATGGGGACCATGACTTTTAGGAATGAGGTTTAAATTGGGGGGAATAGAAAAGGAAAATGAATTAGAGTGGGAATACATGGGGGGATAAGAAGGATATTCCTAATTTGGTATCAAGATAGGGAAATACTAATTTTGAAAGGAGATTCTAAATTTATGAAAAGTATGCGACTTTGGAAGGAAAGAATATACATATTTTTTTAGTTTGTTTTCTCGATCAACTGTATTAAAAGAGGCCTCTTGGATGTTTCATGGAGCTTATGTTATTTGGTAATGAATTCTTTAATAAAAGAAGACAAGATTGCTGCTTCTTCTTTTGGCTTAATTTATGCCACACTTTTTTCTTTCTCCTTCTGTTGCTGAATTTTGCTTATTCTAAGATAGAAATAAGGATGGATTTAATTCCCCACTCTCTTTTTGCTTCAAAAAATTCACATCAATTAAACTAAGTGTAGGATGGACCATTGAATATGTCAAAAGGATATCGCTGCTCCTGCAATGAACTAATGAGAGTGCAATGGTGGCACAAAGACTGCTGCAAAACCTAAATTTCAGAGAAGCTCTGTATGGTACTATACACTCCGCGATTCTGTTGTACCAATCTGATATATAAACAACAGCAGAAGTGGAATTGAAAGATCGAAAACCATGGATTTCCATTTGCATAAAACATTGTGACTAATTATCGAAGAAACCTAAGAAAATTCAACAAAGAATTTTGAAGTGGACTAAGGCAAGTCATATGTTCAACCCACCATCTCTTTCAGCCAAATATGGTGAATTAAGATAGGGATCTTCCACTCAAAACAAAGCAATAGTTCAGGCTCCCTCACACCATTATCAACATCCTGGTGGATATTGCCTTCATTCAACAGCAAGAAACTAAGCTGAAAATACCATCAGCACCTCGGCGCACATCATCCATGCTACCCTGGATTCAAGTAAGATGAGCTTGAGTGCAACAAACTTCACCAGTGTGCAACTTTAACAATTTTGCTCACACATACAACTGCAACCATCTCTGTCAAGTGGTTGACTATCTCAAGACTCTGTTAAGATTGGCGATCCTATGTCCGCAATCTCCACAACCAGCTATGATAGTATAATTGTCTTCAAAATCATGCTTTGATACTAACTGATGCAAAAGCAGGATGGAAATTAAACAACACAAGGAAAAAAAAAACCATGGTTTTAAATTAAGCCAAAGGAAGAAGAAGCAATCCTCTCTTCTTTCATAAAAATGGTGCAGAAGTAATTTTTCCTTCTTTTTTAACTTCTCACTCTAGATCCTTTTCTTTCAGGGTTTTTTATTTTTTTGGGAGCAAAGGTTGACTGTAGTGTATAACTAGATTACAAGAAACCACTTGAACCTACTCAACGGAACAAGTTGAGTGCTCAAGAGAGCAAGGCCATCAAAAAAACGAGAATGGAGGAAGAGAGAGGAAAAGATATTAATGCAACCCACAGCCCGGGAGCACCAATAAATAAAACAAAAATTTCATTCTATATAAAAACCGTCTACGCACTAGGGGAGCTCCTGTACCAACAAATGGGGACATCTATGAGAGCATAGCCTTTAAAAGATACAATGAAAAGGGGGGAAAGAAAGTCTGTGTGTGAGAGAGAGAGAGACGAAAAGGAGGGAAAGGAGAGGAAGAGAAGAGATGGAGTAAAGTCGGATGTAGCGCTTCAAGTTGGTGATGGTAAAGCCAAAGAGTCTTGTCTACCGCTGAGTCACCCTGAGTACCTTTCTTAACCAGCCGGTCAACAAGATGGTTGGACGTTCTTAGAATATCGAAGGAGGTTAGGACGTTCCAACAAATCATCACGATATTGTCGAAAATATAAGAGGCGGAGCCTCCCTTGCAGCGCAAGCAATTACATTCCTACTGTCCCCTTCCACAACCAGAAGCCCAGAGCTAGCGAGGAGTACTGTATCTCACCTGAGGCCCTAAAGAATCATTGTAGATTCGGTTATAGTGTTTGTGAAACCTATGACCCCTTAGAAGAAAAGAATTTCCCTTTGTGGCTGGCCACATTTCCCCCAAGCCCCAAGGGGCATGGGTTACTAAAGAGCACCCATCCACAAAGCTTTAAGGGGACCTTGGAATGGAGGGGTTCAAAGGGGCTAATTGATGAGGTCGGTCTTGGAGCTACAATTAGATGTACTATGTTGCGCCAATTCCCCCTAAAGTCCTTAGAACTTAGACTTTGGAGGAAAGGGTCTCAGCCCAAGAGATAGTATCAGCCTTAAATTGCTCGAAAATGGCTTGAGGCTGCCGCTGCATATCTTGGAAGGTCCTGGCATTCCTCTCCTTCCAAAGGCCCCAGAGCAAGGAGGAGATTTAGGCAGCTGACAAAAGGTGGCTAGCCCTAGGGAAAGGACATCCAAGATCTCATGAGTTGCCTTACGGACTACGGGATAATCCAATGGAGTCCGAACAACCGGAGGAGGGAGGGCCAAAGAAAACCAACAACTTTATAGTGGAGAAAAAGATGTTCAAT